GCTTAGGGTTTGGGGTTCAGGGTTCAGGCGTTTGAGGGTTTAAGTGGGTTTAGGGTTTATAGTAGAGGGGTCTGGGGTTGCCTGATGCCAGACTTTCCTGGTTTAGGGCTTAGCGCTTCAGTGAACGATGAACTCAAGAACCCACAGATGTTGCGCCCGAGCAGCACTGAAAGATGTCTTGTTCTCACGATCTTCCTTCCGAGCATATTCGTCAGCATGACTTTGGCGTTTGTTGGTTGTTGTTGCTGTCGTCGCGCTTTCGCCGCGGGTGCTCGGAGTCGTTTCTTGCTTTCCAAGGTTCAAAGGGTTTAGGTATCTAGACCTACCACTTGATCTTCTTCTTCAAGTGACGCTCTGATCTATTTAAATCTTGACTGCCCTAAACCGAAAGCCCCAAACCTAAATCTCTAAAGCCTCCACATCTTTTGGCCCTACCTCGACATTCTAAAACCCTGAGGCCCTGGTAGAATCCCTTTAAAACCCCTGCTCATGGAAGGAAATCTTAGAGGAAGCCACCCTAAATCCCAAACCCAGAGACTCCAATATCCCTTCATTAAGGAATATACTGAATATACCTTAAATCTTACTACTAGAGCTCCTACTATGATTTAAAGTATATTCTTTAATTAAGGGATATGGGGGTCTCTGGAAAGAAGCCCTCTGAATCCCTTCCAGGAGCTCTTAGGGAAGAATCCTTTAAAGGAACCCCTAAACCCTTCAAGGACCCTTAAAGCCTTAAAGGAGACCCCTTCTAGCATCTCTTAGAGTTTCCCGTAAAAGGACCCTTGAAAAAAAGACCCTAAACCCCCCAAAAGAAGCCTTTAAACAAAAACCTCAAATCCCAAAGAGAGACCCCTTAAAGGAACCCTACAATCCTTTAGAGGAGCCCTTAAAGGCGACTCCGCAGGGGTCCCTGCTAAAGGCGACCCCCCATTATGATGCCCTATAGAACCCGTATATGAAAGGGACCAGAATATAGTATACCCTAAAACCCTAAATTCCCGAAACCCCTAAACCCCTAAACCCTAAACCCTAAACCCTATAAGCCCTATAAACCCTAAACCGAAACCCCTAAACCCCTAAACCCTAAATCCTCGCGCTCCGGTCAGGGCACCTTCCAAGGAAGGCTCTCGGGCGGCTACGCCAGAGGCTGCTATTTGGGGTTCTTTATAGGGCTTCTTTAAGGGTTTAGGGCTTTAGGGCTTTGGGTAGGATCCTTTAAGGGTCCCTCTTTGGGGTGCTGTAAGGGGCTTCTATAAGGGCTTTAGGGCTTTGGGGCTTTTGGGTAGGGTCCTTCAAGGGCCCCTTGAAGGGTGTAGGGTTTAGGGCCCAGAGGCTGCTCTTTGGGTTCCTTTTAGGGCCCCTTTCAGAGAGGCGGCTCTTTGGGGTTCCTGTTGGGGCCCCTTTAAGGGTTTAGGGCTTTAGGGCTCTAGGGCTTAAGCTTTCAGGATTGAAGGTTTTATGTTAGGGCTACTTCTGCAGCGTACCCAAAATCCCTATTCTTGTCCTTCCGCATTAAATACACACTTGGACATAGGCACTTGCACTATATCTGCAACATGGAGGTGCCGGCGCCGTTTTCGAAGTCAATGTCAATTTGTGATGCATACAAAATGCGCAAGCTTAGTGCTTTCATGTTCCAAACATCAAAACTCAGATTTGCGCAGTTTGAGATTATCACATGATGCTCAAGCTAAGCAGCTTGAACCATTTTTCTGTTGAAACTGCCTTTCCTGAGAATCTTTGCTTTATTCCTACAGTTGGAAATAGCCCCAACGAGTCTGTCATATATGGTATTGCACCCTTGGTGAGAATCAACGATCCGTGTTGCAATTCGAGGAACCTAAACCCAAAACCGCGAATTCTACACCCCGAAGAAGCTCTGAAATCCCAAAGTACATAAGTTGCAAATTGCTATATATAACCCTAAATCATAATTCATAAACTCTAAACCCTTCCAAACCCTTACTAATGCTTACTTCGAGAGTCTGGAGGCTCTGCGTTTGTCACTTGTAGGACCATCGGAAGGGCTCTGTGATTTATGAGGGTGCGCAAAGTCGACCCGTACAGATATGGTAGACTGTAGGGTTTTTCAGGACAGGAATTACTATAACGGTTTTTCGGTCGAGTATCCCCCCTGGCAGTACCCAGGAGCCTTTGGGAGAATCATCAGTCGATCTTACACGAAGAGAGACAGCAAGGGCTTGCTTAGCCAAAGTCTGCTTGCGCAAAGTGGTGATCGCAGCAGGAGCGCTGAACATCAGGAAAACTGCAATCGCACTGGCTGCGATTTTGTTTGATGGATGCTTCTAGCCTCTGGTTTAACAGGAATCATGCCAGCTTGATGGCAGCGGCGAGACTGTTCCCATAAGGAGGAAATTCAATCACCAAAGTACGCTAGACCTGTATCAGCATAGACAGGGGATCGTCTGTCAGCAGACCGGCTACCGTCGCACTGAGAGCTGGGGCAGTTGCCGTTCTAAATGTCGCAGAGCTGCGGCTCGTTCAATCTTCGATCGTCCCTCAGAACTTGGACTGTTATGGAAAAGCTTGATGATATTTCACGGAAAATGCTTAGCCCAGACCTTGAAGCTGAGCATGCCGACTCTGCTAGCATGCGATTGTTGTGATCTGTTCCCTCAAGTTACTGTTGGCCGCTACTATCTGGTTTTACCATATCTTTCTGTCTTGGGAAGGAGAGTGCCGCGGAATTTGGTTTAGTTTGGGAAGTAACTTGTTTCGGTTCTTCTTTGTAAACTAGACTAAAGTTTAAAGGGTCCCGCATAAACCTTAACTAAACCCCTAAACCCCAACCCCAAACCTCTTTAATCTCTAGACTTGCCCCTGCCGCAGACTCCGAAACGGGCGAGAGAATCGGTTGCCACAAGGCCTGCCCACTGTAATTCACAAGGACTGAGGCTTCCTCATAACATCTCTTAACCCTATAGGGCTACATGAGGGGGTTCTTTGAGATTCTACAAGGGGTCGGAGAAGGGGTTTTTACGAGGGCTCCCTATAGAGATGCATAGAGTCTATAAAGGCATGTTATCGTAGACATGTACTAAGGAGCCCTAATACAAGGAGTACAACTTTATAATCAACAAGTCTAAGGCTCCTACAGTAGCCCAGGATCGCGGGGCGTAGTAAGTATGGTTCACGGTTTAGGCTTCAGGGGTCATGTCAAGGGGTTTAGGGATGAGGGATCATAAGGTTTAGCAAACAGGTTATAGGCCATGCAGTCAGTCAGACAGGCCCTGTTCCTTTTATTCCCCAGGTAATTATGACCTACCTAATTCCAAGTAGGAGACGAGACTTGGTGTTTACCGCCTTTGAACCCCACGCACACACAACCTACTTGCTTATTTGTTTACGGGTTAGTTCAAGTATTCAAGTATGTAATTGCTTAGTTATCCATTCGTTTTTGGTTAATAGAAACAAGCAGGCTGTAGCCCATTGCATTGGTAACTGGCTTCAACTTGGGCGTAGTACTGCAGGCCCTGGCAGCATTTCAAAACCTGTAGTGTCAAAAGCTGTATACCCATAGGCCCCTAAGTAGTTCCTTTTTGGGGACTACCTTATAGGACTCTAAATATAAACCATAAAAAGGAGCTACTTAGGGGCCTATGGGTAATGCAGTCTTCTCTAGAGGCTTTGGTACGATAGCCTTGGGTGAATAATTTCATTGAAGTCCTCAACTCAAAACCCGTTTTCATGACTCCTAAACGTCCTAAGCGCTATCTTTCTGTAGCTGCTGTTGTTGGCTTGGGCGGTGTTTTACATTGAAGCCAGGAGCCTGAACCCCAGCAGCCTTTGAAACGTGCACATCAAGGGCTCCTTCCCAGGATTTTCTTATTTATCTCCGTCAACAAGGGCAAGGTTTTGTGAATTCAGGTACTTAGAAGTCCGGGCTTGGGAAGGGGGGGGCAGTAAGCGCAGACGCGGTGCGTTACCAATGTGCCTTTCGCATGACATTCCAGACGAGTATCCTGGACCGGTATGACACGGAGGAATTGCCGGGCCGCTTCAAGCACATGCCGTGTCGGCGTCCCCCATCTCCAGCTTCAGGGCAGTCAAAGTGACGCCGTCGGAAGGTCTGGCGTCCACTGGTGTGGCTGTCGACGCGTGTCAAGGTCAGAGGACCGTCTATTTTCCACACTTTTGGTGCCTGCGGACTGATTGGCGTCGTGCTATTGGCAGTTCGCTCCTCGAGCGAGGTAGTTATCTTCTTCTGGTAATGCAGAATCATGGCAGCTGTCGCCCTACACCTGCAAACCCGAAACCGGGAAACTTAAACCTAAACACCTAAACGCAAACCCGCGCAACCGACACCGCCGACACCGTTGTCTCTGAATCTAAGCTCTACACCCCCCAAAACGCGCCTAAACCCTTAGGCCTGAGCCCCACCTAGACCGCCCAACTACCGGGTGTAGGGTTTAGGGTTCAGGGTTGCAGGTTTAGGGCCCTCTAAAATATCTTAAATACCCTAAATACCCACGAGAGGCACCATAAGGGCTCTGTTGAGGGGCACGTGGAGCGTCCTGGTCAGCCCTAAACTCGTAAAGCCATACTGGAACTGACTAAGTGCCATACCACCATGATAGCCTTATAGATCCCCTTAAGGCTGGCTTTAAGGGACCTGGTAACCCAAAACCCCTAAAGCCAAAAAGATGAACCCTAAAACCTCCCTAACACCCAGGGATCCTTTTAAGGATCCCTCTGAGGAACCTATACTTAGACCGTAAAGAGCAAGGAAATCATATTGAGCATCCCCCAAAAGTAGGTTATTTACGGTCCAGGTAGGGCTTAATCCAGGGGTCTAAACAAGGATCCCTCTGAGGAACCTATATCCCCCTAAACCCTAAATAATTGAACCCCTAAACCCCAAAGCCAAACCCCTAAAACCCTAAGCCCTAAATAATTGAACCCCTAAACCCTAAACCCCCTAAACCCTAAATACCTAAACCCCTAAACCCTAAACCTCTCAACCCGAAACTCGTCAGGCTGCGCCTCGCGTATGAGGCCGCCAAGGCTGCCGGACTCCCAAACGAGGACGTCTGCTTGTCAGGTTCTTGAAATGGATCTTTAAAGCGATCTATAAAGCTTCTACAGCTTCTATAAAAGGGGGGGTATGGGGCTTATAGCCTGTGGGCTTGGCGTTGAGCGTTTTAGGGTTTATAGGGCTTTATAGTTAGGGTCGGTTAGGGCTCATTTAATTATAAGGATGTGGGTTGTCGGGTGTAGGCTTTAGACTTTACACGTTTAGGGCTTTACAGCTGGTTCCTTAAACCCTAAGCCCTAAACCCTAAACCCTCAACCCTAAGCCCTTCGAGGCTTTAGGCTTGAGGCTTTAGGCTCTCGGGTAGTTTTGTTACTGGAGCTCTCGGGATTCTCCATAGGACCTTATGGGTTGGGGCCTCTTCGGAGAGGCTCAGGGCTTTAACTTTTGGGCTTCGGCTGGAGGGTTTTATAGGGTTTAGGACTAGGGTTTAGGGTTTAGGGAACTTTGGTCCGTCGTTTTTGTTCTTGAACTTGTAACTTGTGACAGTTCGTAGATACTCATTCGTCCAAGATGCCTCTACCCGCCGTTTCTGTGGCAAGGGGAGTGTGAAGCCTTGGTCGCGCTTAGGTGCAGGGGTCTAGTATAAGCATAAGCTTCACGGCTGTGGTGTTCGGGGTTCGGGGCGTTTGCGCAATCTGTTCAAGTCGTCTTTGCAGCGTGTCATCCCTTCACCCTGTCCCGAAGGCACGAATCCCAACGCTCCAAAACCTCAAGCCCCAAACCCAAACGCTGAAATCGTTAAATCCGTGGAGCCTTGAGCCCTAAACCCTTCACCCTAAACTCCTAAAGCCCTAAACCCTACATCCTAAACCCAGATCCCCTGAACCGAGAGGATACGGTGGTGGCGAAGGCAGATGCTCTGCTCAAGTGTCAGGCACGTGCGCCGTTTCTCAGGGTTTCAGGTCCCTGGATGGCTAGAACAAAGGGGTTTAAAGGTTTAGGGTTTAACGGGGTTTAGGGGTTTAGGGGTTAAGGGCTTAGGGTTTAGGGTTATGAGTAGTATAAGACAGAGAGAGAGAGAGAGATCTTAAGCAAGCTTCTGTCTGCCATCATCCCACCGTCTTTCACTCGTCATGGGAAGCGTGCTGAGCGTGCATAGTTCCCATAGATGTTGTATACTCGTAGCTCCATACATGCACTCAAGCATGGCTATGAAGAGTGCAGCGGTGAGCAATCATGCAGGAGAATCACCGACGCGCCTTGCTACAAGCGATGGCACAGGCAAGGTGGTTGTGGAACTGTACAATGCGAAATCCACCCGATGTAAACAAACCCGGCCATCAACACTTCAGAGCAGAACACCTAAACCCTATAAACCCTAGGCCCCCAACCCGAAACCGCTGGCCGTAATCCTACAGATCCTCGTTTATTGACCGCTTCGCTCTTCGACACTTTCCATTGGAAGTCTTACCTGTGAACTCTGTATATTCCCAGTGCAAAAGGGTTTGCATATCCCCCTCCATAGGAAAACAACCAAACACTGTAGTGGTTTAGGTCCCCAAGCCGCATGCATAATGGTATTTGGCAGAGAGATGGCTAACACCGCTCTTTTTGGGTGGTACTAGGCTACCTCTATAGGGTTTCCGAAAGGGTACTACAATGTTCTATATGGGTAGTTCTCTAAATTAGGGTCCCCTCTGGGGGGTTCTGTTTATAAGGGTGCCGTGCTATGCTGGGGACTTAAAAGGGGACCGTATTTTGCCTAGAGAACTACCCATATACTTAGGCTTTGAAAGGGCTCCTCTTTGAATATAGGTACCCTTCATGAATTACTCTAAGGCTTGATGTATATGAATACGGGTACGTTTAAGGTATATGAATATGGGTACCTTGAAGGTATTTGAAAATAGCTACACCCCCGAATATAGGTACCTGTCAAGAATATAAACATAGGCACTTTAAGGTGCATGAATTTGGATACCTTTAAGGCATATGAAAAAAAGGTACCTTTTTGTATATGAATATACTTTAACGTACATGAATATGGGTACCTGTAAGGCATGTAAGAAAAAGGTACTTTTTAAACTCAACCCTAAACGAACCCTTCTGGACCCTAAAACCTTTTAAACCAACCCTAATTACCAAAAAGGAACCCTTATACTCAATAGGAGCCCTTAGAGCAAGGTTTCGAGGGCGATGGGTGAAAACACTCTGCGAGCAGGCCGCGGACGCGTTTGCGCGAGCCCGCCGCGCCGAAGATCTGCCCAGCCTGAAGCAAATCAAGGACGCGGGAAAGAATTCGTCTAGCAACTCTACCCATAGTCCCCTAGGTAGTTCCTTTTGGGGATTACCTTATAGGATTCTAAATATAAACCACAAAAAGGAACTACTTAGGGGCCTATGGGTAGTAGGGGGGGGTCTCTTCAGGCTTCCTTTGATAGGGGGGCCTCTAAGGCTCCTCTTAGGGGTTCCATTTTGGGTACGGTAGGGTCTCGGTTTAGGGTTTAGGGTTTAGGGTTTAGGGGACTATAGGGAGTTTCTCAAGGCTTCCAGCAAGGTTGCTAGTTATAGGGGTAAAGGGACGATAAGGGGGCACCCTAAACCCAAAGCTTAATCCTCACAAGTCAAAGCAAGGACTTCCACATCCCTTAGTCGACCTAAACCGTAGAAGACCCTAAACCCTGAAAGCCTTAAACCTCACTATATCAGTCAAGACAAGGACCACCTGAGTCACTTCTAAGAACCCCGTAACGCTATCCTTTGAAAAGGACGCCTAAGCCCGAAGACCGTATAGCCCATCTAATAACGGTTTAGGTTTTAGGGCTTATCGGTTTAGGGTTTAGGGTTTAGGGTTGTCTTAACCCTAACACTCTAAAGCCCATCTAAACCCTGAGACCCTAAAGCCCCAAACCAACAAAGCCCTAAGCCTCACTCGCCAAAGCGAAGACAAGTTGAGTACCTTTACCCTTAGCATCAAAATAGCCCAAAAGCCTTATATAATAGGATCTTTGGGCCCAAAAGCCTTAAACTATGAGTCCTTCGATGCTAAGGGTTAGAAGCCCCAAAGGATCCCTCTTTAAAAAGGAACCCTAAACCTAAACTTCAAAAGCATGGATTCCCAAGCCTCTAAGTCACCCTAAACCTTGAACTCTGAAGCCCCCAGCGTAAAACCCTAAAGCCCTAAAATCTCACAACTCAAAGCAAGGGCTCCGGCACCTAAGCCTTTTAATTTCGATACAGGATCCCTTACAAGGCACCCCTGAGCCAGGCATTTACGTAAGGACGACCTGAACACTTCAAAGAACCCCAAACCCTAAACCCTCAACCTTCAACCCTAAACCCAAAACCCAATCTAAACCCTAAACCCTAAACCCTAAACCCAAACCCTTTAAACCCTAAATCCAAACCACTACCCTTAGCATCAAAGCAGCCCAAAAGCCTTGTACAGAATATTGGGGCCCAAAAGCCTTAAAATATGAGTCCTTCGAGGGTACGGGCTTCAAAGCCTAAATCCCAATTTACACCCTTTAAACCCTAAACCCTTTAAACCCTAAACCCTTCAAATCAAATCCTTTAAACCCTAAACTCTAAACCCTATAAACCCTAACTTAAACCACTTCAAAGCAAGGACGACCTGAGCGCGCTTCCCGGGGATCTCCCTGCCGCTCGGCTCCTCGTGCCCGAGATTCGCGAGGCGCGCCATGGGGTTTAGAGGGGTTTATGGGGGTTTATAGGGTTTATAGGAGTTTAGGGTTTATAGGGTTTATAGGGTTTAGGGCTTTACGGTTTCTAGGGTTTAGGGGCTTACGGGTTTAGGGTTTAGGGGTTTAGGGTTTAGAGGGGCTTAGGGGTTTAGGGTTTAAAGTTTAGGGGTTTAGGGTTTAGGGTTCAGGGTTTAGGGTTTAGGGTGTCCTTTGAGGCTTTAAGGATTCTATAGGGTTTCTGTAGATTTTACGGGGCGGGGCTTTGGAGAGTCACCTCAAGGGCTCCACTAAGGTTGAGGACTCCTTTAACGGGTACTTTAAAGGGTTCCTTGTTCGGGTTCCTGTCAGTCTTGCAGTCTAGAGGGTTTGTGTGGGATTCTAGGGTTTACAGGTATAGGGTTTAGGATTTAGGCTTGTTATGGTTTAGAGTTTAGGGTTCATCTACGATGTGTATATTGGTCAGGTTCTTGCAAAAGAGCACTTGACCGAGCTCAACAGTTATCTGGCTGCACAGCGACACGAGCGGACGGACTATCAGACATAACGTGTCAATTGTGTGCAACAGCGGGTTCGCCCTAAACCTTAAACCCTAAACCCCTAACCCCTAAACCCCTAAAGCCCTAAACCCTATAAACCCTATAAACCCTAAGCCCTAGAATTATCTGACAGGCCAAGTATCGCCGTGTCGCCCGGGAGATGCATGCCGGATGCAGAAAGCTTCTCAAGCGAGTGCCGTCCGAGGTTGGCAGCGAGACGCATCGAACGAAGATATGCCATCACGATGCTTCTTATTCTGAGGGCCTAGGGTTTAGGGTTACCGGTTGTTATTCTGAGGTAGATGATGTGTCCCCGCTGCCGACCAAAGCTTAGCCGACCATATGAACTCCGACCCGCCCGCGCGGGTTCAAACTAAGCGACTTCAAATCAAGCTAAGCGCTTTACGCCAATCTATCTTCAACGGAAGATGGCAATCGCACTTGCGAGGTCTACCCCGGTGGAGGAGACCGTGTTGACTGGATCGACACGGCTACGCAAGCCGCTGACTGCTTCGCGAAGTCAATGAAACCGGACTTTATCATTCGACTGATCGAATCTGGTGTGTACAAAGTCAGTAGGGCTAAGTTGAAGTATCGCAGGCGCTGAGTAAGACGACCACATAGCCCATGTGTGGATCCCCTCAGTTGAGTAAGTCGCAGACACCACCTGCAGGATTATACTACCAAGTTGGAGCATAATATTATTTGTTATGTGGTTGAGTAGCACATGATTCTGTAGCCTGTATAGCATTTTCTGCGCACGAGACAGGAGAACAGGTTGAATGTGAATCACTGTCTGTTACTCTGAGCTTTGAAGCCTTGGTCTTGAGAACATCATGTACATACCGCTTCTGTTTAGGGATGTAGGGCCGATACTTGTAGTTACGCAGCGCTTGGGAAAAGACCGCCAATTCCAAACTTAACTTGAAACGTACTTGAAGGTACCCGAATCTTGGATCCTTCCGGCCAGGTTGAGGCCCTGAGGCGCCAGGTGCACAACGCCATCGAGGACGTCGGCTTTCTGTAACCTACCCGAACCTACCGTTGGGGGTTTCGGGCTTATGCTGGCTGGTTTAGGGTTTTAGGGTATTGGGTTCGGGGTTTACACAGAGATTTTGGGGTTTAGGTTTTCGGGCTTACGGCTCCAGGGTTTCAGGGGTTATGGCTTCAGGCTTTTTGATCTGAATGGGTTTAAGGTTTAGGGTGGGGCTTAATGGTATAACTGGCTTTGTAAGGTTTAAGGTCTAATTAAAGGTGTACTGAAACCTCCAAGGCCCTGAATCGCCACGAAGTGGAAGCCCTGATGTGGCTGTGCCACCAGTCAACCAACTTTGGGTTTAGGGTTCAGGGGTTTAGGGGTTTAGGGTTTAGGGTGCATGGGTGTAGGGTTTGTTTAGTGGTTTAGAGTTTGAGGGTTTAGGGATTTAGGGTTCAGGGTTTAGGGGGAGTCTGGGGCTGAGCAGCTGCGGTTGGCTCCATTCTTTGCACGTTTAAACTCAACAACATCAGGCCAGCAGGCAGATTGCGCAGGGCCGCGACTGGGACTCTTCCCATCTTGATCTCGCGATTTGGAGCGTGAAGAGGGTTTAGGGTTTAGGGGTTTACCTGGGGATCCAAAACCCTACCGTTTTAAGGATTCTACCTTGTAACTAAAGGGTCATAACCTACTATTTTGTAGGGTTTGGAGTCACCTGTAGGATTTAGAGTTTAGGGTTTAGGGGCGTCTTAGACTCTTGCTTGTTGAGGTCGGGCGTCCGCGACTGCGTGTCGATCTGCTGGGGCTATGGGGGGGGGGTTGGCGTGAGAGACCACTTTTTGGTACTTCCCCTAAGGGTCCATGTCATATACCCTATATATATATATATATATATACACTTTGGCCTTAATGTTGTCCCTATATAGGTACTTTGGGGCCAAAGTATATACTAGTTGGGTACATGGACCCTTTGGGGTTCTCCCTTCCAGGAGAAGCCCTTGCTCCTGCCAAGCCTGTCGCAACGCATCCCCACCCCCACCCCCACCCATTCCCAACACCCCCCTTTCTCGAATGCATCTTCTGACGGCATCGGAAGATTCTGGGCATCACTCTCATGATGATCATGTCCACGTGGCCCAACATGCTCAATCATTCATTTGGAGCAATTGAAATGGGCGTCGTGGTGCTAAACCTCAAGTTATAGCTCCAACTATATAGCTGGTTCAGCGCATGAGAATCATAGCTGCCCTTCTTTCCCTAAATCTGAAATCCTAAGCTCTACACCCCAAACCCTGCTTAAATCCCTTATAGATCTTATAGTGCTTAATTATGGCTTATGTAGCTCCCTTTACAGGAGCCCTAAACTAAGCTCCGAGCCCGTTGAAATGCAGAGTCCAATCCTTGGGTCTTTTCGGTTCCGGATCTTCGAAGCTGGATGCCGTATCTCTGGGCTCAGGGAAACAGCTTCCCTGTCGAGACATGTGCGAGCACTGGTAAAACAGGGGGTTTGCCGGGTTTTGGGATTTAATCTGCGGTATTTAGGTAATAAGGTTTAGTTGGGCGTTCAGGGTGGGTGGGTGTTTGTGTGTCTGTGTGTGGATTTAAGTGTTTCCTTCGAAAGACCCTGCAGTCATGTTTTTTAGTCAGTATATGAAGACACGGGGCAAACGGAGGCCTAGTGTTCAAACCCCCCTCCCCGAGAGGTAGTTCTGTGCTTGAAAGTGATGTCGGATTTGCCGCAAACAAGAAACCCTACACTACTAGGTCTCCAGTGGGCGCTTCCTCCCATTTTGTGGTCTTAGGTCCCTTATAAAACCAAACGGGAGCCCGCTCATTCCAGGTTACTGCGGATCCTACTAATTTAGGAATAGTATTTCGGGGCTTCCTCCTTATTCTACTTACAGTATCCTACACTCCAAAACCCTATTCTAACTACTAAGGCCCTTATACTACGTGATAAAGGCCCTAATCAAGATCCTCCAGGCCCGGACATGCCAGCATTCGAGAATCCCCCAACGTCAGACGATGCCCGCAGGACATCAAAGGCCACCTTCGCGTGTTTTGCCGAATCCGGCCGCTCAACGAGAAGGTGGGTAGTTTAAGCTGACGCCTCTGGGCGTTCTTGTCTTGCCCGGAATCCTAGATCATTGAATATCATTGATGTTGCGACGTCAGCCCAAGAGCTTTGCAGTTAAAGTTGGGGTCAAACGGATTTTTAGCCCTGTACCCACAGCTCTATATCAATAACCTGCAAACCCCTAAACCAACTAGAACCTAAAGGGTTTGGAGTGGATCAGGAGTGTGTCTGTCCTTGCCGCTGCTTGGGTCGCGACTTGCGTCATACTTCAGCAGTGTTATAACTTATTATACAGTGGGTTTAGGTTTAGGGGTTTAGGAGTGGGCAGTGTTAGTTGAAGGGGAATGTAAAACGGAAAGTCTCGTCCGAGTAGGTACATAGGAACCTAGAAATGCAAGCCGAGTTACAGTTTAAACTCTAAACCCTAAACCCTAGACTACATGGTGCTTTCTCTGCCCCCAACAAGAGTCAAGAGAGCGCACGTCTCTGCTTTCATGCAGCATTCGGTGTGTAGCCCCAAAACCATAGCCAACCAAAAAAAGCACACAAGAAGTAGAACGAGCACATGCAAATCCCCATAAGCCTCATCTCAGCATCTCTAAAACACATTACACGTGCAGATCCCCCAAACGCAAACCAGGTGTGGGGCTGCGGTTGGGTTGAAATCCTAAACCCCACCTGTACCCCAAAGAACCCACCCTTTTAGGGCTTTCTTACTATGATTTCCTTATGCATGTCCTTAAAGAGGTGGGTTCCTTGGGGTCTAGGTAGACCTTAAACCCTAAATCCCTAACCCAAAACCCTCAACCCCTAAACCCTAAACCCTCGGTGCACGCAGGAGGTCCGCAGTGGTGATGAAGAGGTGGTTCGGGTCGTGGGCAGGCCCAGTTCTGCTGTGCATTCGCCCCGGTATTCTTCGAGTACCGAGGGTTTAGGTTTATCTCTTTGGGCACTAGCATTTTAATTCCTGTAAGCCTTACCCCCGAAACCCACACGCAAATGTGTAATTCATGACGCTTGCTCTCTATAGGTCCAACAAAGGAAATATGATGAGACTGACAGTACGCATTTTCGGGAATTAAGCATGGAAGTTTAATTATCGAAATCAGGCGTCCCAAACTTCGCGTGCCGCCTAACAGGCTAGATGCTGCTAACCCTAAACCCTAAACCCTAAACCCTGAACCCTAACAGGGCCTAACAGGTTAGATGCTGCTGTGTTCCTCAAGCTCCCCCCCCATGTTGCCCTTGCGCAGGAGGTGTTGGTGATCTGAAAATTCTGAATGGGTGCACCCGGGGGCTCCCAAGTTGACCTTCCCCTTCTTTAGCTTACTTAGGGTTTAGGGTTTAGGGTTTAGGGTTTAGCCAACGGTAGAACTTATAAACGTTTTGACCTTATGTATCTAGTCTTTATTAGAAAGTTTGAACTTTTTTGGGCCCGGATATTGAATAAGGTAGTTCGGCATCCTTATGAGAACCGTCCTACCCTACTGCTTTCTTTATTTGCAGGCTCCTGTTTTTTCTGTGAGATGCATTCACATCGGTTGAGGAATGCTTATGACCACTAGGGAAGGTATGATTTTGGACCGGTCCTGAGGCAACTTGTCTTGTGTTCCTTCCTAAAACTCAGTTTTCGAACTTTCCAACATGTTCCACAGCTTTTGGGTCTGTCGAAATCCCGAGTCCTGAAACCCTAAATACCAAACTGAATCTTCCAGCCCTATCAGATACCTATCACTCTGATATAAAGACGGGCTGATGACGTATGGACATATGACGTACGTACATACAAACAAATAGAGAAACACAGAAGTAAGACACTTATAAATCCAAATATGGATATGTATATGTATATATATATATACCTGGAAACCCGGA